TTGCCTGCTTTGTTGACTTACAGCCAAAGAAAAGACTCCCCCCAATAAATAAGAAATAATTATCAAATAAAAACACTGTCATGAAGAAGAAAAGAAGCGATACAACAGAGAGCCAGTTTCGTCTAGCAGTGAAGGCTCCGGGCTAGAAAACAGGAGACGGTGAGGTCTAGTCCCGCCTTAGGCATGAAAGCCGGCTGGCTGACTTTGGACCAGTCACTGTCTCTCTCAGCGCAACTCACCTCACGGGGTTGCTGTTGTGGGGAAAACAGGAGGAAGAAGGAGTGTTAGGTATGTTTGCTGCCTTGAGTTCTTTATAAAAATAATAAAGGCGGGATTAAAATTTTTTTAAAAAAACAACAGCAAAGGAAGACTGGAGAAAATGATCCAGCGTAATTGAAACCCTCCATGGTAAAAGCTAAGCCCCCAAGCCATCTTCTGGAAGAGAGCCGATCCTGGGGATATTTTGGCAAGACGTCTGAAAGTAGGAAGTAAACAGTTCCTCATTGAGCAGCTGGTGAGAGGCAGATATAAGAGGGCTGCCTGTCAATTATCAGAGCAAGAGCAGCTGATGTGGAACAAGTGAACAAACTATCTGAAGAGGGGATATTGTTGAACCTTCTCTGTGTCAGCACCGACGGCAAGGAAGTGAGCGTTGCTAGCGTGAATGCTTTTGGGCGTGTGACCGAAGGGATCTCATGGAGGTACGGTGGGGACCCAGAAGGGCTGTAAAAAAGATCCTCAGAGCAGTCAGGGGGGATTTGGGCTCTGTCATTCCGAGCCTCTCGATCGAGGATTCTTCATTTAAACACTCATGGTTTGGGGGTGGGGGTGCTAGTGTTTGCTTTTTATGCCATATGCCACCCATTCTTTTAGTTGGGGGGCTTATACAGTTTGCAGATAAATAAATAAGTAAAAGCTGAAGAACGTTATCAGGGCCAAGGGATATTAAAAAGGGACCGGAGGGGCCACAGAAAGAAAGATCTTTACCAATTTTATTTCCCAAATGGAAACAAAGCTGCTACCGAACAGCAGCTCTGTTCTAGCCAGAGAAAGGGAAATGAGACAGAACAGGGAACTCAGGATAAAAATCTTCTTAAAACCGAATGGAATAGCTTTGAGATGAGAAGGATCGGAGTAAGTGCAGAACTGGGCACCAAGCAGCAAAGGACTGGATACTTTCACGTTAAATAATTTACTAGCAGCCGAGGTGGAGATATTTCCATTACAGCCAGAGCAGTTAAGGACTGCATTAAGCCAAGCAGTCACTTCACAAATTTGGCCTGTCCAGGAGGCTGAGGACTAAACTCAGGCAGCTAGGTGTTTCAGGGTCTTCGCCTGCTCAATTTGGGGAGCCACCAGAGTCCATTTATGCTGAGAGTATTCCTTAGTAGAAGTAGCACCAGCTTTGGTTCAGATGAGCTGATTACTCTTTTTCAGCACAGCAATATTCTGAATAGGCAGAAATCCCTGATTGTGATGAAGAGAATTAACCATGCTGTCAGCATAAAGCAGCAAGAGACTGGGCTATAACTGGGGGGGATGGAATTCCTGGTGAGAGAACCCCTGAACAAGGTTCACGGATGCACCCATTAAACAGAAGGGGGTAGGGAGAGGCCAACCTTGTTTAATCCCTTTGGGGGCTGGAAGTGAAGCCGGAGGGGCATCGCCAGGACCATCTTTTTGCTCACGTCCTCATGAAGCATTTGAATTAGGCGATGGCTAAAATCTGGTGAAAATCTACCATCCAAGCTAGCTCCTAGTTAATGCATGTATTCCTCCTCAGAGGCTCATCTCCCAGATTAAAGGACTCTTGATCAGATCCCATTTTTCAGTTCACACACCTGTCCCACATGGGCTGGGGATTTAAACAGCTGGAGCAGACCTAACAAACGAAATTTACATTTTAAAGCTCCTTCCTGGTATTTATTCCTGCTTATTGACACAAGGCGCTCCAGTCCAGGCCTCCTGCTTCCAAAGATAAAATGTGTAACTACAGGAGCTTGGAGCGATGCCGATAATACTGAAGGGCATTATTTTAGTACACAATTTTATATTCTATATATATTTTATAGAGATATA